AGGTTGTACTACGGTCCTCCTGATATTCTTCTAACCAAAATTACCCTGTGACGCCAGTCAGGGGCAAACTCATTGGCTCTGTCTTCTTTGAGGCGGCTGAAGAAAGTAAATCCTCCTCAGACGTAAAAACAGAGAGGAGGAGAGGTAACGACACAAGCTGGAATACAAGGAGTTCAAACATGAAAGAATAAACACATTATTATCTTTAGCATTAAGGTGATACAACACCAGAAGTGGGATCAGGGAGGTTGTAGAATGTCCATTCCCAGAGATGTATTCAAAAGCATCACTGGACAAGGCCACCCTCACCACCTACCCTCAGCACCAGATTGCACTTGGGACTTCCAAAGCAAAATAGACCATTGAGAAAAAATTTAAAAAAATGGAAAGAAATGATGCACTCACAGTGATAAAAAGAGAGAGAGAAACTGAGAAGTTCCAGTAGTATGAGGACATAACATAAGACAGAAGCATTTCGCCATGCAAACACTGGAAATTGGAAAAATGGAATTGTTTGTAAAGGACTTTTTCCTCCATGCAGCACAATGAGACAAGTCATGAAAAATTCCTCAACTGGCAAAAAGAGTAAAAATCACCCTATACAAAAATATTTCTGGCTGCATCCCCTTCATTCAATAAACAAAAGCTTAGAAAAGACTTCTTATCTCCCATCGCGAAGGTTCAAACAGAGAAAAGGGAAGCAATGAGATTTTAGAAGCTTCACAATAAACATTCAATGCTCAAGTGCTTAGACCCAGAGCTACCTCCTCAAATGACATCTCGACTTGGAGAGTTCCTGAGATTCCCAAGAAATGCATCATTTTACAAATCATCCAAAATGTAAAAAGAAATGATGTATTGACACAAAAGCGAAGATGACAAATACACCAAAACTAAAAAAAATTCACAACCAATACTGGCATATTACATAAGAAAAAAAGACTTGGTCAGGAAAGGAAATTCAGCAGAACACAACAGTCATCAGAGTTCGCCCAGGAGGGAAAGGAGAAACCACAAAAAAAACATCAACAGCAAAACTGCTCCATGTTGCTATCCCAACTACAGCCAACCTTGCCCCAACATGCCACTGCCCTCCCCAAGCACAGCTACCCCACCAATGCACTTCCTCAAGGCCACCACAGCCCCCAGCTAAAGCTGAAAATCACAGTGGCAAACTTGCTGCAATCAGAAAGTGAGGAAAGGAAAGCTATGACAACACATTAAGCTGCTCACCTGGCAGCACACCAACACAGTGCCCACCCACACTACCACCAAGCTTGACCAGGCTCATCCACCCAGCACCCGCAGCCCCATCATGGCTGTATTCACAATCCCATAGCCCTGCCTGTGGCATGGCACCCTGGTGTTCCTGCTGGGTCTCACCACCACTCTCATTCGTCCCTGTGACACCACCTTCCCCTGGGACGGCCTCCAGTTCTTCCAGGCCATGGCTCCCAGCATGCCACAGCCTTGCCACCACCAGCAGGCACCCTTCCTCTTCCCCAAAACCCTCCTCCACACTTGCAGTAGCTGCTGCCACCACACTGTATCCTCCAGCAGCTCTTCATCACCCTCAGCGGCTCAAACACCTCTGCCCACCACCACTGGGACGCTGAGACATGGCATCAGCTTCCTGCACCACATCCAGCAGCTTGGACAGTATGTGCCAGCCAATGGCATACTCTTCGAAGGCCAAGGGCCCTGCAACCTGCTGCTCAGCATCAACAAATATTTTGGGTGCATCCAGGACTTCCTCTGCACCCACCACCACAGACCCTGTGCCTGGGACCACATCTGGCTAGAAGCTCATGCCTGTTTCCAACATCTTCACAACACCTGCATCATGCATGATTAGCCCAACTACCCCGACCAACACATAGAGCCCCACTCATGCCACCACCACCACTTCTGTACCACTGCCCCATCCCCACCCCTGTCCTCCTACCTCCCATGACTGGTGGCAGCAGCCACCACAAGAACATCTATGGACCCTGAGCCTCCACTGACTACTCATCTGTTCTATTTAATTTGACAAGAGTTTTTAACTATTTATTCACCTATTTATTCAACAGAAAATAAAGACCTGTTACAAAAAAGCATGTCAGTGCCTCTTGTCTCAGAAGCACAGGAACAAGCCTTTGGGGTGGGAGAAAGTGATCTCTACTCAACACCTGCTCCAAACAGAACTCTGCAAACCCCATGCTCCACAGCCCTGTCCACTCTTCGTTTTGGCATGTCCCCAAGAATGAACTTCCCTAAACCTCTTTGGAAAATCTCTGCCAGGGTTTAGCCATCATCATCAGAATCATCTCTTTAGCCTGTATCTCCTCAACATTTTCCACCTTCCATCTTGGTTTAGACCAACTAATCATTAGCTCTGGAGTCCTCAGTAAAAGGAAGACATGGACCTGTTGGAGAGAGTTGGGGTTGTTCAGCCTAGAGAAGAGAAGGCTCCAGGGGAGACTTTATTGTGACCTTTCAACACTTAAAGGGGACTTATAAGACAGATGGGGACAGACTTTTTAATACGGCCTGTTGCAATAGGACAAGGGGTAAAGGTTTTAAACTAAAAGAGGGTAGATTCAAGCTAGATATAAGGAAGACTTTTTTTACTATGAGGATGGTAAAACACTGGCACAGGTTGCCCAGAGAGGTGGTGGATGTCCCATCCCTGGAAACATTCAAGGTCAAGTTGGATGGGGCTCTGAGCAACCTGATCTAGTTGAAGATGTCCCTGCTCATCGCTGGGGGATCAGACTAGATGACCTTTAAAGGTCTCTTTCAACCCAACCCATTCTATGATTACATGAAGGAGAGCCACAGCAGAGATCACTTTGACTAAGCTGAATTCAGCTACTCTTGCCACTTCAGGCACTTTTCATGACAAATGTCTCATTGTGTTGCTTGAAAACACCTTACAGCCATGAGCTATTCTAGGGCAACACAGACAAGATCCAGCCATGGCCTCCTGGAGGGATGGCACCTAGGTATGCCAAAACATCGTACACATGCCAGCACCCCAAGGCAGCACCCCCAGGCAGCACCCCCCAACGCAACATTGCCTGACGAGACCATGGCTCCCAGCCCGTCACCACCACCACACACACATCTCCCCTGCTCCAAAAGCTTTGATAAAACATGTGATAATGGCTCTCATAGAAGCAGAATGTGATCCCTACTGTTGTAGGGGACCTTAAAACTTCAGCAAGTGAAACTGCCACCTCCTTCTCCTCCTACTAGAGCTTTATAACTAGATTAGCTGGTTCAGCTCCACCTCCAGAGGACTCTTGGACACCCCTCCTCTAGGGGCACAGGGGCTCAAGGTCATCCCAAACGCAAGACCCTTTGCTTACAAACAGCCTCACAGGGGGCATTTTCTTCTTTGCTCTCCAGCCACCTCAGGCAAGGAGGTAGAGAAAGCACAAGACTCCTGCTACAGGCACACACACATAGGACCACAGTCAGGGACCCAACCCAGTAGGAGGAGGAGCAATATATATATCTGAAGGAAAAGCCTTTCTTACTCATTCTCAGGAGCTTCAAACACAGGAGCGGGGCAGCTGTATCCAGGAACACATCCAACAATCAAGTGCCTATACCCAGAGCCACCTCCTTGGAAACCGCCGCTGCCGTCACCCCCCCAGACCCTTGCTCCAGGAGGGGGCTCCCCAGGCTCTTCCAAACAACATAATTTCAGAATCCTTCCAAATGTGAAAAGATCAGCTAATATGAAAACAAAGGCACACAAGGGAAAGGAAAACAGACCACAACCAACACCAGGACATTACAGACAGAGAAGAGACTCGGGCAGGAAGGGAAAGTTCAACTGCAGAAAAGACTCAACCACTTCCCTGGGTAGCCTGCTCCAGTGCTTGACAATCCTTTTTGTGAAGAAGTTTTTCCTAATATCCAATCTAAACCTCTTCTGGGGCAACTTGAGGCCATTTCCTCTTGTCCTATCCCTTGTTACATGGGAGAAGAGACCAACACCCACCTCTCTACAACCTCCTTTCAAGTCTCCTAAGCTTCATTTTCTCCAGGCTTAACAACACCAGTTCCCTCAGCCACATCTCCTAAGACCAGCCATAACTGCACTAAGAAATCCACACTCCTGACTAGCATTTTCAGCATGCTTTATTTGCTGAATTATAAAATAAAGTTGCCTGAGTTTGAGAAAGGGTTTTGTCTGGGATATCCCTGTACTCACCTTTGACTGTCTGACTCTGGCTATCCCCAGACTCCACATGAAAGACCTGGTTCTGACTTGGACCTTTATCTATGGCATTCATTCAGTGATATTTCTTTTCAGATCACTGCTCATTGCTCCATTTCTGCCTCTATAAATAAACTGCATCACTTAATCCTGTGACTTTTCTCAGTAACATACTACCAAATGTTCCCTTCAAGACCCTTATTCTACTTTTCTGAAAAGAAAAAAAATATTTTCCTTTTCCACAATCTAGGCTGAGGCTTTTTGTGAATCTAATTCTCAGCTTCACTCACATGCCATTTACGTTCTGGATCCAGGTAAAAAGGAAAACTTCATATACTCTCCTTCCTGCAGCTCACCTGCATTTGTTGCCGTGATGCACACACAGAGACCTGCACCTATGAGTGCCTCCAAAACCTGTCAGAAGCACCTACTGGCTGCCAATTTGTATACTTGCTGTTCAACCCTACCTCTTGGTAAAAAAATATTGACACTCAGACTTCGACTAGATTTGACAAGATGTCTAACTAGAACAACAATTAAAAATTTCTCCACTCAGAAGTACAGAGTACATTTGCTTCTATTTGCAAATAGACAAATGCATAATGCAACAGTTTCGCTGTATCAATTTACACCACCTAGAAAACTGTTTGTGGATAATTAAAAAAACAGAATATAGAATATAAAGATAAGCTCTTAATCACCATTAAATGAACTAAATTGCATTGCACAAATGATCAACACTGAAGATAACTTTTCTAAAATGAAATAAACCAAGCCATTTACTTACCATTGGCAGCCTGGGCTGAAGCATCTGGAGATCATCATAACCATAAATCTGCTTAAAGACAGATAAAAATAAAACGTCATTATAACACTCATCTCTGATGGTGATCAATTTGGAGCTCTGTTTAAACAGAGTTTGACCTAGGCCCAGTCTATTTTAAAGGTGTACAGTTATATGTTGCATTGTGCTATCATGGTCCACTGCAGCATTTTAAGGCTAGTAGAGCTAAGCTTAAAATGGCTTTTTAATCTGTTGTTGTTTCCTTGTGACAGCAGTCCTCTGAGGAGTGTATTACTGTTCCATGTTCAATACGGTTTTTGCAGATGCATCATTCATCAAGTTGTGAAAAATCTACAGGGCATTCAGATTTGGGAGTAAGAGAAATAGTCTTCTTTGCTGTAATCATTACTTCTGAGAATAGCATAGATTTGATGACTAGACCACAAAGCAAACCTTGCATTCGGTGTGATATAGAAAAATTATTAGAATAAAGTTTCTGATTCAAAAAACAGATAACCAAAAATATGTTGATCCTGGTCAGACACCAAAAAGCTATGTGCAATCTTCCAAAGAATTCTTTTTGAAATTACGAGGCATTCAAGTGAAGTATGAAAATTAATAACAGTTTTACTAAAAAAGGAGAACAAGAAAGAACAAAACAAAAAAACCAAACAATAACATAAAAGAATGTCACCTAAAACCACTCTTTCAGTGTATGCTGCCAAGACGGCAATGCAGTCCCAACAGAGGCCATGTGTGGAGGTGGGGGGGGGAAGTACTGGTGTGGGGGGAAGTACTGGTGTGCAGAGCGGCGCCGGCAGTGCGGGGCGAGAAGCGGCAGTGGGCAGTGGTGACAGCTGCAAGCGACACTACTCTAAGGCAGAAGCAGTGGCAGCAGTGGCAGGGACGGTTGCAGCGTGGCTCAAAGGTGCAGCCCAGCTGAGCAGCAACAGCAGCACCAAGGTGGGAAAAACAGCCAGAGACCAGAACCACGATGAGGGAGAGAGCAGCCCAACTGTGCTCGCTCCTCCCCTCACACCCCCCACCGGAACCAGAGAGAGCGTGTTCTGGTCCTGCTAGCAAGTTTATCCTATTAAGTTCTCGCCGTATTTCCCGTCAGGACCCTTCATCCCTCCCTGCCCCCACCCTGCGCAGGGAAAGAGAGGGAAGGTGTCCCCTGCGCTCTCCAAAACCATGTGATGATATGAAAAAATTCAACAAGAAAATCTTCATTTAGCTAAACCATAACATTATCCAATGCAATTTTTTTCATACCATCATGCTATATCAAATTTGAACTTTCCAACTATACACATACACACATTATTCCACTTATATACACATTTACAAGTATATACATACAGGTACAGTGTTATGGACAGCTTTACAAAAAATTAGGTCCCCCTGAGGAAGTATACATCGTGTTTCTCCATCTTTCTGCATCACCCACCATGTGCAACCCATCCCTTGAGCAAAAACAATACTACAAACAGGTTTGCTTTTGCTTGGGGTGGGACAAAACCAAACCATTTTCCCTAACATATCTCTCAGGTGCACTATGGGGACTTTATCTCCCTACGGTGTGAAGGGGCTCTGATTGGGCAGGGCTGACTCGGTTGACAGAGCCTCTAGTATTGATTAACCAAGTAGCCTTTGCTAAATGCTGATGCCAGTGGTTGAAAGTCTCCCTGCCCAATGCCTTCAAAGTAGTTTTCAACAGTAAATTACACCATTCAACCTTCCCAGCAACTGGTGCATGATAGGGAATATGATATACCCACTCAATACCCTGCTCTTTAGCCCAGGTGGTAACTAGGCTATTCTTGAAATGAGTCCCATTGTCTGACTCAATTCGCTCTGGGATGCCATGTCGCCACAGGACTTGCTCTTCAAGGTCCAGGATGGTGTTCCAGACAGTGGCTTGAGGCAGAGTACGTTTCCAGCCATCTGGTGGTTGCTTCCACCATGGTGAGCACATAGAGCTTACCTTGGCGAGTTTGCGACAGTGTGATGTAATCAATCTACCAGGCCTCTCCATATCTATACTTGGTCCATCACCCACCATACCACAGGGGCTTTACTTTCTTAGCCTGCTTGATTGCAGTGCATGTTTCACAATCGTGGATAACCTGGGATACAGCGTCCATGGTTAAATCCACCCCTTGGTCTCATGCCCACCTAGAGGTGGCATCTCTTCCCTGATGACCTGAGGCATCATGGGCCCATCGAGCTAGGAACAACTCTCCCTTATCCTGCCAATCAAGGTCTAACTGTGACACTTTGACTCGGGCAGCTCAGTCTGCCTGTTCTTCATTTGCTTGGCTTTTGGGCACGTGTGCATCTACGTGGCAGACTCCCACAATCATCTTCTCTACCTGGGTCACATTTCAGAAGCCCAGATGGGTTTCCCTTTACGTTGTCAATTGTCCTCCTTCCATCTTTCCAGCCACCCCCAGAGAGCATTGGCCACCATCCACGAGCCAGTGTAGAGGTAAAGTCTTGGCCACTTCTCTTGTTCAGCAATATCCAAAGCCAACTGGATGGCTCTGAGCTCTGTGACTTGATCCACCTTTTCCTTCCACAGCTTTTGATACTCATCGTGTGGGCCTCCATACAGCTGCTTTCCATTTCCGGTTCACGCCTACAATGCGACAGCAACCATCAGCGAAAAGAGTGTAGAGCTTTTCGTCCTCTGGCAGTTGGTTGTATGGTGGAGCTTCCTCAGCACATGTCACCTGTTCTACTTCATCTGCCAGACCAAAATTCTTACCTTCAGACCAATTTGTAATTATCTCCAAGATCCCAGGGTGATTAGGGTTCCTGATTCTGGTGCGCTGCATGATCAAGGCAATCCACTTCATGTAGCGTGGAAGGAGCCTTTCCCTTGAACATCCACCCCAGAACTTGTAGTCGGGGTGCCAGGAGAAGCTGCGCTTCCGTGCTGATCACTACTGAGGTGGTTTGAACTCCTTCATAGACTACTAGAATCTCCTTCTCCTTTGGAGTGTAGTTGGCCTCAGATCCTCTATAGCTTTGGCTCCAGAATCCAAGTGGTCTCCCCAGGCACCTTCTGCCAGAGGCTCCAGGAAGGACCATTTTCCCCAGCTCCAGAGTAGAGTATGTTCTTTACCTCCGGTCCTGTCCTGACTGTACCAAGGGCTACAGCATCAGCGATCTCCTGTTTCATCTGTTCAAAGGCTTGTTTCTGTTTGGGGCCCCACTGGTAATCATTTTTCTTGCGTGTTACAAAGTTGAGAGAGTCCCGGTCAGCGCAGGGACACCCCCGACCGTGCCGCGTGTTTGGGGCAGTCCCGGCTGGCGCAGGGACCCCCCCGACCATGCCGCGTGTTTGGGGCAGTCCCGGCTGGCGGTTCAGTCACCCAGGCGTGGCCACGGCGGGTGGCGGGGGGAGAGGGAGGGGGAGCCTTACCGTCGGGTGCTGAGCCCCATGGAGGAAGAGAGTGCAGCTCCGGAGCACACAGAGGTTTGCCGTTCCAGCTTTGGGAGGGGAGGGGGGGGGGGGTGCGGGGGACGGGGGGGAGGGGGGGGGAGGGGTGTCAAGAGGGGCATGGGGGGTCCTCCGACTGGCGGGAGGGAGAATGGGGCAATCCTGTATCAAGTGCCACAGGTGAGCAGTGCACCTGAAGATATGTGGTAACACAGTGGTGGAAGGATAAGGTCAGGGTGGATAGTGGGGCTCCTTTAGTGTGATGGGGGCCCCGGCCAGGCTGTAGTCTTGATAGGCACCCCAGCCTTGGATGGGTACGGGGGCCAGAACAGTTGTTTTGTTTAGTTTGTCTGTTTGTTTTTGGTTCACCTGCGGCTACTGCCCAGGTTCGACGTGTTCTGGATATATTTGCTTTGCTCTGTTACGTCCTGAAAGGGTGGATAGGTCAAAGGGTTGTTCCTGGGTATCTCCTTGAGATTGTATATAGATAGGTGATAGTAAAGTAGGAAATGAAAGACTTGCCCAAATCGTTCTAACAGGTACATAGCCTGCGTACCCCTATGTCGTTGCGAGCTATGCTGGCGATGGTACATGCCTTTGGTAGGGTCGCCCATGCCAGACAGGTCAAAACCATAGGATCAGATACACTACATTCTTGGGCAGGATGAGCTTGTTAGCCTTTGGCAGTCATCCTAGGAGAAGGACAACTCTCATCCCAAACCCGGGCAGATGGAGCTCGCTTAGCCCTGGAAGGCCATCCATCTCAGAGAAGGTCACTCTAATCAAACCTATGTCCTGAGGGTCTCGCTGCCACTGTCCAAGCTTGCTCGGCCTTGGCAGATGAACCTCAGGATTAAAGGGTGGGTTCAGTTCCGCGCATACTGCATCTCACCTAAAAAATCCATTGCGCAGGCTTGAAGGTTTTACCCACATGCAAAAAGTCCTGTAGCGACGGGCGAGGGTCGAAACGGCAGATGAAAGGTGCACTGGGAACCGCAGACCCAACCCTGCATGCAGGCTGTTCAGGATATTGGTCATTTGAGACTGACCGGAGATGACAGTCTCTTGGGGCAGCACCCTGAATGACCAAGTAGCCTTTTTCAAGGACAGCACTGCTTGCTCCACTCGGAGAGGGGCCTAGAAAAGGTGGCCTAAACAAAGCTCATCTCCACCTTCACCCGGTTGGTTAACCGCAGACCAACGGGCATCTTCTTCCAATGCAGTCACACAAAGAGCAAAAGACAAAGGCATGCACCTGCCTCCAAAGGTGTACCTAAATTACCTCTAGCATGCTGGAACATCAGAACCATGCTCGATTCTGCGGATAGCGGGCGTCCTGAGCGACGTTCTGCCCTAATTGCCCATGAACTGGTTCGTCTCAACATCGACATTGCTGCTCTCAGTGAAGTTTGCCTTCACAAGGAAGGCAGTCTCAGAGAACATGGTGCCGGTTACACACTCTTTTGGTCAGGTAACCTCAGAACCGAAAAACATCTCTCAGGAGTAGGTTTCATGATCAAAAACTCTATTCTTCCTAAATGCGAAAATCTGCTGACAGGTCACTCTGACCGCATTATCTCCCTACGCCTTCCACTACACAACA